TCTGTGGGCCCTCTGGCCCTAACTCTGTGGACCATCTGGCCCTAACTCTGTGGACCCTCTGGCCCTAACTCTATGGACCTTCCGGTCCTAACTCTGAAAACTTCGTAACATACATAGCATATAACACATAGAAATCACATCATGCAAAAGCATACAACATACTCTGTCTCATAGCTCTAATTACCACTCTAGGTAAAGTATAGTGAGAAGACTCACCTCGGGTAACTCGGTAAAGCTCGAACTCTGTAAAATCAGGTCTAGCCTCCGCCTAATCATGTAAAATAAATACTCTCAATCAATACATCTCTCAAGGCTAGACTATTCCTCCTCTTAGTACTCTCAGAAGGGTAAAAGACCATTTTACCCCTCTCATAACTCAAAGGCCCCACTATAGACCAAACCCTAAAAGTCAACCAAAAGTCAACCCTCCGGGTTACGCTGCGCGTACCAGATGTGTACGCTGGGCGTACCCGGCAGTCTCTCAGAATCGGGGTGCGCGACCCCTTACGCTGCGCGTACTGAGATTACGCCCCGCGTAACTCTCAGTTTCAGTCCTTTAGCTCTTGAGGTCTTAATCAGTTAAGACTCTCGTCCAACTTTTAGATCTGACCGTTTCTAAGCCTCTTAATCCATAAAGTCGATAACTTTAAGCCTTTGCATGGCTGAACAAGTCACTAACACCCAAAATATACCACTTCTAGCCCTAGAAAGCTCAAAACTCTAGCATGTCCTCATATCAACGACCAAGATAGAAACTTTATGGATCTAAAACATAAATATCACTGAAAGGGGACAGATCTTGGACCATGGAGCACCTTACACTCATAAAGTCTCCACTTTTGGGACTTTTAACCCTAGAAATGGCCCATGCAACAACAAACCAAAAGAAGAGGAAAGCTTTGAACTTTATACCTCTAAAAGCAGCTCCTTCCTCTGTAGATCTCAGATCCAAACTTGCACTTCAAGCTCTAGCCTCCACAAGCTCCTCTCCTTCTTCTTCACTAACATCCCAAGGCACTTTTAGCTCCAAAATCATACATACTCACTAAGGACGATGGGAAGTTCTCTCTTAGGGTTTTACTCACTGCTAGGGAGGCTGAGAAATGAGCCTTAGCATCCAATATATAGGGCACAAGTCAGAAATTAGGGTTTGCACCTGGACACATTACGCCCAGCGTAACCCTGAGTACGCCCAGCGTACTCAGGCGAGTCCGCGTCCAAAATAAGCGCTTGAGTACGCGCAGCGTACTCTTGAGTACGCCCAGCGTACTCATCTGCTACCAATTCCTCTTAAGGGCTTAACTTGACACTTTGAATAAAAGAAGGGCTAAATAGTTGTACCTGAATTTCGGGATGTTACACTATGTCTGTCATATTTATCAATTCGGAAACAACATTGAAAGCTTCTGGCCCCCGCGTAGCGGGGGTAACCTTTCTAGTTATTATTATTATTATTATTATTATTATTGTTGTTGTTATTATTATTATTATTATGGATTCTGAATGCTACATTTCGTAATGTTTATGAAAAATGATTGGATCTAATGAACAGTCGTTGAATGAGAGGCTAAAGGCGGGACTTGAGTTTGAGGGGAGGATTGTTGAGGTGCAAACTCAATCCCACATCGGCAAAAAGAAAAACTAGATGTTAGCATATAAGACAATGAGTAATCATTTATGTCACAAATTGGTTTTAGAAAATGAAACTTCATTGTTCTTCTATGTTGGCATGGTTGAGCTAGTAGCGATCCTAACAGTTTAATGTCATTGTTTTTTAATAAAATGTCTAATTTTATGCAGTCATATTGTATATAGTTCATATTATTATGTTTGTTTAATTTTTTTGTTAAATTAAGAAAAAAATGAACTTTTTTCTTGAATTTCTGGAATTGTTCTTCGGATTTCGGACTTGAAATTCCAGAGTTTTTTTTTTTTTTTTTTTTTTTTTTTTTTTTTTTTTTTTTTTTTTTTTTTTTTTTTTTTGAAATCTGAAATTTTAGTCCGGAATATGAACAGTACTCCAGAATTAAGCATTCCGGAGTGCTGTTCATATTCTGAAATTTTAATCCAGAATCCGGAATGTTATTTCAAAGTTAGTAAAAAAATTTTTTTTTCTTGGTCTGAAATACCTCCTACCGGACAAAAAAGTTATTTTTGCAAAAAAAAAATTCAAATATACATTAAAAAATGATTAGATTACTTAATTTCCCTAATAATGATTATTACACTAAATATATAACATTGTAACTATGTTATGATTAATTAATTTAAAATATATGTATTTGATCAATTTTATTTTTGATTTAAGCATAATAATTATTTAAAATATCGAACTATTGTTAAAACTAACATACATATACAAGATTTTTTTTTTGCCGAAGATCACATTATCTCGTGTTTTTGGTTTCTAACGTTCAACTCATCATCTACATATAAAGAAGGGTTGTGCTATAAATACCCCCATTAACCAATTTTACTCCCCCTAACATCAATCAAATCAACTTTTTACTTTTGATTTGATATTATTTTTTTTTTCTTTTTGTTTTTGATTTTTTTTTTCCTTTTATTTTATATTTTAATATTATTACTATTAAATTCGGATGACATTTTAAAATTCGGTAAACATTATAAATTCGCACGACATTATAAAATTCGAACGACTTTTTTGTCCGTAATTAAAAAATATAAAAAATATATTTAAAAACCGATTTTATATAGCCGTTTGAATTTATAATGTCTTCCGAATGTTAAAATTTTGTGCGGAATTTATAATAATAATAATAATAATAATAATAATAATCAAAATATAATAATAATAATAATAATAATAATAATAATAATAATAATTAAAAAAAGAAATAAAAACAACAAAAAAACAAAATAGGAAAAAAAACAAAAAAAAACAACAAAAGACAAAAAATCAAATTAAAGGGGGTGGAATTGGAAAAGGAAGGGTGGGTACTTAGGCTGCTCGGTGTGGGATGCGGTTTGGAACTGCGGTGCTGCCACGTGGACCGCGAACACCGCCCCCAGGGCACGGTTTCGTGCGGCCATAGAAGACCGCGTCCTCTGATTGGTTGCTGCAACTTCCTTTGACCGTTGAAAGATTCGTGTAATTTTTTTTTTAACCATTACTCCATCTATATATATATATATATATATATATATATATATATATATATATATATATATATATATATATATGTTACCATTTTTACATTTACACCACCTTTAAACAAATATTTCCACAATCTTTTCATCCAATTTTCTTTGAAAAAATGTCTTCTTCCAAAAGACCTAGCAAAGAAAAAACACCAGTCAGAAACACCAACACCCCAATACCTTCATTTGATCAACCGATTTTCTCACCTCCGTATTACCACTACGGAGGTATGTTTCCGTATTTTCCACAACGACCAGCGCAACCACAACCACAAACACCACCACTACCACAACCCGACCCGAATTTTAATCCATTTGATTTTTTGTCTCAACCCGAGCTTGTTCAACAAACTCAAACACAACCAGAAACGGTCGTTTCTGATTCTGAACCGGAATTCGTTACAGAAACTCAGCCCACTCGAGCAGCAACTAAAAGAAAAGAGAAGGCGGAGGCTAGATGTTGGGAACCTTTGGAAACGTTAGTGTTGGCACAATCTTGGATCGATATTTCAGAAGATGCGACGGTTGGAAAAGACCAAAAGCATGACCGCTTTTGGATTCGCGTTTTACACAGGTTCCATAAAGGAATGAACCGTGGAGAATACCGTTCAAAACATCAAGTGTACTCCAAATGGGGGAAGATGAACAAGGAAGTCATGTTGTTTAATGACTTGTGGAACAACATGAAACGTCAATGGAAAAGTGGAGAAAGCGATGAAGTGATTTTGAAGAAAGCGTTGAAAGTGTATCAAAAAGAAAATCTGAAGGCTTTCAAGTTTCTTGAAGTTTGGAATTTTTTGAAAGATAACAGGAAATGGCTGAGTAGCAAAACATCAGACGAGCATATCGACAGTGGGTCAAAACGCAGCAGAACATCTGAGTCCGACCACACTACATCAGATGCTCGTGTTCAATTTGATCTGAACGAAGATGAACCTGTTCCAGTTTCACCACCTTCCCGACCAATGGGAAGAGACAAATCAAAAAGCAAAGGCAAAGGCAAAGCGTCGGATTCAGATGATTTGAAAGAAATGGGATCCGACATGAAGCGTATAAAAGACAGAATGGACAAGATTTTGAAAATTGCTTCTGAAAGAGAGCTTCGGAAACAAAGGGAGAGCGACATGCGAATACTAGCGATGGACACGTCGAATATGACCGGGGCCGAGCTTGAAGTGGTTTTGGCGATGAAGGAGGAAGTGAAAAACCGTTACATCAATCGTGGCTAATTTCTAGTTTTTTTTTTTCAAGTTTTTAATCGTTTCGTGTGTGTGTGTTTTTTTTTTAAGTTGTAGGTTTTATGTTTCTACTTTATTTTTCTAAATTTTTAGGTTTTTTTTTAAATTAAGTAATGTATGGTATTTGTATTTTTAATTAATGAAATATTATCTTTTTAAAATTATGTTTTTTTTATTAAAAAATAAGTTTTATTAAATTAAAATAGTTAACAAAAAAACAAAAAAAACATAAAAAATAAAAGTGTGGCATCACCCCCTTGGTGTGGCAAGAAACCACACTTGTGTGGTATAAATTGACATGGCGCTTATGTGGCGGGGGAGAGAGTGCGGTTTCGATGGCACCACTCCCTCCAGCCTTATAGAAAACCCCATAAAGAATTGTGCAGTGATTTTTTTTTTTTTAATACTTTGTAATGTATTATGAAACTTTAAAACCACTCGGCACTCGTATCAATTTTTCAAAACTTGGAAAAGTAGCCACATGGACCAAACCTTTAATTTACTCCTCATGTCTTCAATAATTGTCACAAAATGAACCATAATATACTTGCACTGCAATTTAGGTGTAAATTTAAGGACCTATCTGTAAAATGTTCACAAATTAAGAACTCTTGCCCTGGTCTTATTGTACTGCGCACCTTCGTTCATCACTCCGATTCCGATCAGGAAACCTCTCTTAAACCCTAAATCATGAGACGAGCTTTACTCAACAAAATCCCTATTCATTATCTCCGAACCTCTCCTCAATCATCTTTTACATCGAATCCGAAAATCATTAACACACCCTTGACTAGCTTTCGATCGAAGATTAGATTCTTTTCAACCGAAAATGAGAATCCACCCACAGACAAATTGAACCCTCCTTCAGAAACAAGCAGCATTGTTCCACCGCCAACGAAGGAACTAGACGTCCAGGATGTCAGCAATAAAGGTACCTTAACACCTAAATGAGGGGTCACCGGAACTACATTCACTAACCCTATTTTGGTTTTGTGTTGGTTTAGTAAACTGTAAGCTTTGTTTTTGGTAAAATCATGAGTTCTGTAACTGGTTCCTTTGCTTTTCTGTGCAGCTATATGAAGTCCATGATTTGATTTATTATTCCATGAAATTTATTTCAAATCGTTCATTATATAGGTTCTCTTGTATTCAAAATAGTAAAGACACTCATTCCCATTATCTATCACAACAATAGCTAGAATTGAAGGGTCACTTCAAACACTGGATTTCTTAATCTATGTTGTAGTTCGAATAAATTTAGGACAAGTTGTTTAATTGATTTTTTTTTTTTGTTTCAGAGCTGAAAACACAGATCGAGAAGTACTTTAATGACAAAGATGAAGAGGCTCTGCCTGCTGTTTTTGAATCAATAATCCGGAGGAAGATGGCAAGAAAGCATGCAGACACAGATGATGAACTACTGGACGAGTTTCAAATGCGCCCAATTGATGGTGTCAATGATAAAGAATTCGAATCAGATTTTGAAGAAATACATGAAACAGATGAGGAGATTGATAATCTGTATAGCGCCAAAGACATTGTAACAAAACGAATGACAAAAAATGAGTTCTTTTACATGGATGACAGAAAATGGGAAGGCATGATCAAAGAAGCTACTGATAATGGTTACATTAAAGACACCAAAGAGTGTGAGCAGATACTACAAGACATGTTCATGTGGGAAAATCTCCTCCCAGGTATATTCATTCACATTCTTAAACTATAAACTATAAAATTAGTTTACTTATTTTATGAAAAAATGTTATGAAGATCATTTGAAGAAACTGGTGGAAGAGAAATACAATGAGATAGCAGATATGGTTGAAAGTGGAGAGATTGAAGCTGAACAAGGTTATGAGATGTATCAGGAGTTTGAGCATAATATGCTCATGAGACATAGTAAGGAGATAGAAGAAGCGGGTCCCCCAAAGTTTGATGATATATCTAAGGTAGAGAAGAAGGATGAAGACGACCCTCCGGGTGAAGGGCCTGTGCTGAGGTGGCAAACACGGGTTGTGTTCGTTCCAGGTGGCGATTCATGGCACCCGAAAAACAGAAAAGCAAAATTGGGTGTGACTGTGAAAGAGCTTGGGCTTTCAAAGAATCAGTTCAGGAGACTAAGGGAATTGGTTGGGAAAAGATATAATCCAGGGAAAGATGAACTTATAATAACCAGTGAGAGGTAATGTAATAATGCTCATATTTCTTTGTTTTTAGTAAAAGACGAAAATACCCTCGTCATGTGTTCTATTTTTTTTTGTAGGTTTGAACATCGTGAGGAGAACAGGAAGGATTGTCTGAGGACATTATTTGGGCTGATTGAGGAGGCTGGAAAAGCTGATAAGCTAGTTGATGATGCAAGAACTTCATATGTGAAGAATAGACTTAGAGGTAATGAAAAGTTCATGGAGAAGTTGAATGCCAAGATCATGAGAAGGAGAAACCAAGGATCTAAATCCTTGAATGTTTGATCACACAAAGAGAAGCGTATTTCTAGATAATGAAGAGCTGTTTGTTTACCCTTTTGTTCTTTTGTTAATCCAATGAACCAGAAAGAAGATGTGTCTTTTTGGGTTGTATACGATAAATTGAAATTTTGTTTGTTATGCATTGAGTTTAGCCTTTCTAACACATGATAGGGAGGTATAGTTGAATTTTAAACCATAATATTGTATCATGTATGTTCATGTTCATGCATGAAACACTTCCATCTACAGCAGGCTGTATCTTTTTTGTTTGATGTTTGTTGTAGATGTCGATACTCGAGGGTGTAATACTTTTTCTCATGTCTTTATTTAGTTTTACATATTCCCGGGAATTAACATTAGGAAATTTTACTATAAGGTCTTTATATTTTGACATCATATTCAATTAATTAAGTCTTTGATATTATTCTTTTTTTTTCTGATTTAAGTTTTGAATAACACTTACATTTTGGACAATTTTTCAAATTAGCCGATTAATCTGAAAAGTTGTCCAAAACTGAATATTTTAACCAGTATTCGGGACTTAATCAGAAAAAAGAAATAAAGGAACTTAATTGAATATGATGTCAAAATACATGGGCTTTATAAGAGATTTTCCTAAATGTAAGTTTTTACTTATTTATTTTAGGATAAATTACACGAATTTTATCTTGTATAGGTTGACTAAAAACACATTTAGTCTCTATTTCAAAAATTAACTCGGTCTGTCCTTCGTTTGGTTTAAACTTGCAACGCTTCACCTAAATGACAAATTTTTTGCGAACTTAGTCCATACCAAAACTGAATTGACCATAATACCCTTATGTTTTTATTTTTCATTTAATTTAATATTGTTATTAATATTTTCAATTAAAAAAAATAAAACCCACTACAACCTCCCCTTACATTTTCCCCACCCCTTTCACTTTCAAACCTAACATTGACTAACCGGAGAGAATATAGAACCACAAAACACACACACACATGTGTGCAAATACGATATCGGGAGAGGGAGCAACAGAGATGCAAATGTAAATATTTTACATCAAGAGAAATCTTCTATAAAGCCTCTCTCTCTCTCTCTCTCTCTCTATATATATATATATATATATATATATATATATATATATATATTCTGATTAAATCCCGAATACCGGTTAAATTATTAACTTTTAGACAATTTTCAGATTAAAAGGCTAATCTGAAAAATTGTCCAAAATTGAATAACTTAACCAGTATTAGACCTTAACTGAATAATTAAACCGGTATTTATGGCTTAATCAGAATATATATATATATATATATATATATATATATATATATATATATATATATATAAAAGGACTTATTTGAATATGAGGTTTTTAAAAGCACAATGTCATTTAACTTTGAGAATTGTACTTATTACAGTTTGATTTAGTGTTGAATGAATGGTAGGCCTGAATGATTTGAAAACTGTTCAGGCTCAGTTTTACAGTACGAATAACAAAATATTACCATTATATCCCCCTCTGTTATTTAGTATGAAATGAGATGCAACCACCCATTCACCTTGACATCAACAATAGACTTAGTGTCTAAAGAAAATCCAATCCAATCCAATCCAATCCAATATAGATGATAAATAGGCCACTCACTTCTCACTTGACTGAAATGTACAAAATCTCAACACCCTCCCAAATCCCAATATCCTTTACTAACTACCACCATAACACAAGTATTAAAAAAAAAAAAAAAAAAAGTCTAAAAGGTTATAAATAAAGAAATCCCTTTTTATAACTAACTTACAACACAAGCCAAACAATTTCAATGCACCCAAAATTACTTTTCCTTGTTTGTACCATGAAATTCTCTTCCAGCTTCAACTGCTTCCCTGAAAGCTTGAACAAGCTCCTTGTTTTCAGGGTCAACCTTAACTCCCTCATAAAATGCATTTGCTGCTTCATCAAACTTCTGCATCATTTATAAAGAAAAAGAGAAACAATGATTTAATCTCAAAGTTTGTTATTTTATTTTATTATTTTAAATTAAAAAAAAAAAAACATGCCTGCATCAAACGCAAAGCTGCACCCTCTCGATACCAAGCTTTAGCCCAATTAGGTCTCAATCCCCCTACACGCTTGTGCATCTGTAAATGCCTGATCAGCTTGCCCAAGTCTTATCCAACAAAGACTCCGGTTTGAAAACAATGTAGCATCACTCGGGTCAAAATCAATAGCCTGTTTTTTCATCATCATCAGAAAAAAAAAATTAAAAATTCAAATTGTTGACTTATATTTATTATATTTAATCTCAAACAGAGTGCATGTATGTGTACTTGAGTATAAGCATCCACAGCCATTAAATAGTCTTTTCGTCTGTAAGCATCATCAGCTCTTGCTTTCGCTTCAGCCGCTTTCTTCTTCGCCTCCATTGTCACCTTTCAAAACATGTCCAAAATACATCATAAATAAATACAACAATACTTTGCAATAAAAAAGTACATACATTAACATACCTCAGGAATTTCTTTCGTTGAAACTGTAGCATCATTTGACAAGTTACCATTTCTTGTATTTCTTTCGGCTTCCTGAATATATAAAATTCAAATACTCTAAAATTTGATATAATAAATCCCAAAACAGAAATAGATTTTCAAATAATTAATTGATTAATTACCTGTTGTTCCTTAGCAACTTCAGATTGCATATGTTGGATTATACCATCAACACTCCAATCTGGAACAGTTTTTACATGAGATGATAAAGGAAGAAGCACCTCAACAGCATCACGATTACCTCTTGCAGCTGCAACTTGTACTGGTTTTAAACCGTCCTAATATAAAAAGAAATTAAAAGAGTTATTCTATATAATTTTTTTTGTCACTTTGTATGTTTTTTGACTGACCTCATCAGTGACATTGGGATCAGCTCCAGATTTTAACAAACATGTGATTATTTCTGAGTTGCCACTATCAGCAGCAATGTGCAATGGGGTTGCTCCACCAGCAGTAATGTTTACTCTAGCACCTCCCTGTTTGTATTGTTATCACCAAAAGTTTAAGATACAACAACATTGCAGCATCATATCATAATAAAATGATAATTAAAACATTTACTCCTTCAATAACATGAACCTGAATTAGTAGCTCTAAACATGGAAGTGAGCCTGCAGCTACAGCTGACAGCAGAGGAGTAATGCCATCATCAGTTTCAATATTAGGCTGCAAAACAATCACCATTCACCACATCTTTATAACATTATATATACATAACATACATACAACAAAAAAGGCTTATAAAGAAGTTGAATAAGATTGTTATCAAGTCATCAATAAAGTCTTACATTAGCCTTGTGTTTTAGTAGGAGTTTTAAAGCATCTTGTTGCCCATGACCAGCAGCCCAAACAAGAGGTGTTCCAGCATCACTTTGTGAATCAACTTCAACACCAATGGATAGCAAAGCCTCCATTAACTCAATATTTCCTATAAACATCAAGTTGCATATATTCAACCCAAAAGTTTCTCAATAAAGTAAATAAGATAGTAAGAACTAAAAAACAGCTCACCTATTCCAGCAACATGATGTAGAGCTGTAGCTCCTAATTCACTTGATAGTGCAGGATTAGCACCATGTTCAATCAGGTATTTGGCAGTGGAGGTATGCCCTTGTCTTGCAGCATGAATAAGAGGGGTCTCACCTGAAACAATGCAGCAATATGGAAATCAATATTTCAATACAAAGCCATATTTATCATGTGTTTAAGTAACAGAAGAAATTACCATCCTCATCTTTAGTATTGACATCAAGCTTCAATTCTTCCAACAAGTACTTGCAGACTTCAGTCTGCCCTTCTCTTGCAGCAAAATGAAGAGCTCCACGTTTATTTGCATCCTTAATATCTGCCACCGTGTTTGATAGTCCTTTTCCATCATCCAATTGTGCTGCTACACCTATCAAAAGAAGAAAAAATCAATGAAAATAGTAAATTATTAACCAAACGTCTAGTATCCACCATGACATTACAAAGCGAACTCTTTGCAACAATCGCAATGGACAGTTTAACCTAAAAATTTGCCAAAACAATACCCTAACTTGCACTTTCTATCAAAATAGCAATTTTGCTCTTGCGAGTTAACGAGACATGGAGCAATAAGTATTGTAATTTCCGAGAGAAGTTACGCTATAGTTGCAATTGTCTCAATTTCATGGAACGATCGATTATGATAGCAACGAATATCGTTGAAAATCCACGAAAAAAGGACTCACTCTTCAAGAAGTCGAGATTTCCGGTAACAGCGGCATTCAGAAACTGTTGAACTTTCTGCCTCACTGAAATTAATAGTATTGAAGATCAGTAAGGCGTATAAACAATATAATATCTATATATTAAACTTTCATGGAACCTGCAAGAGCATCCGAAGCATCTGGAGCCATGGCTTGTTGCAGAAGGAGAAGTGTTGGCCTTTTGCTTCCCTTAAACCCTAAAAACGAAATAGAACTTTGGAGAACCTGTGGGTTTTAGTGGTATTTGAATATCATATTAAATATGAATATTAAACATAAGCATGTTGTTAACGAATCTATTAATATTTTCTTATATTTATCGCTAACCAATTGGATGTAAATAAATAGATCCTTAATTATCTATTAGTCTTTAGCTAAAAACTAGCATTTATCTAAAAATAGTCTTTAAAACCGTAAATAATTAAGTGGTCTACGGTTAACGGTCGGTTGACTATGGTCAACGGTCGGTTTACTACCATTTGAGGTCATTGGGCAACTGTTTGGTGGACCATCTACTCTTTCGGGTCCGTCAGCTCGGAATATACAATGTTGTGCATTGAGTGCTACACCGTAGGTTCTTATGAAACCTACGGTTTTGGTATTTTTTTCTTTTTTTGTAATTTTAATGTAAGCTATATAAGTTGTACAAGTTGTTATTATCATTTTTCTCTTGTATAATTATAAATTGTGCTAATTAGATAATAGGTATAATAATTTTTTCTCGTTACACCATTGAACTTTGAAAAATATATCAATTTCTTGATTAGAAACCACAGTAGATTGTTATTGTTCGCAATGTAAAGTAAATACAAAGCAATGTCAATAGGTGTAGATATTATAAACGAAATTTGTCTTCAAAAGAAAGAATAATACGGAGTAAGTTGTATATAGGCGTTTTGTGATAAAATATGATTTCTCATTACACCTTTATAAAATACAAATGATATTTTATGTGTTTTTCGCTATTTAAATATGTAGTATATAGAAAGTCCAAACAAATTATCTCTCAGGTAATTATTATGTTTCTTTTGCTATTGTATACAATCTAATCATTGTATATGAATCGATTAAGTATTATTATGTGTGTTTAGGTTTTAATACTTTTTTTGGTTTATAACATGATTTAGTGATTTTTATTGTTTTTTTAATTTTCAACATGCAAATAAACAAATGATTGCAAGTGTATCGGTCAAAGCTCCATGTCATAAAATACATGAAGTGCTTAGACGTTTAGACCGATCACGTCGTGACTTATTTGCGACAACTAGCTTCGGTCACTGGTTGGATGTACCAGTACATGCGGGTGATAAGATACTTATTCATGGGTTGTTACTCCATCAGTTGCGCCCGACTACAAAAATGGATGCATTAGAGCGTATATAGTTTCAGATTTCTCGACGTATGTTGTCATTCGGACCGGAGGAGTTTTGTTTGGTGACTGAATTTCACATAGGTCGATGTCCAATATCAACAATCGAATTCATCACTTTCTATAAGCAAGGTTACGATGTTAACACCTTTCGGTCAGGAGTTTTCCCACATCGCACAGACGCTACATTACTCATTTCTGATTTAGATGCCCTTATAACGAACGATCAATTTTATTCATGGTTGTTACTTCATCAGATGCGGCCGACTCTAGAAATGGATGCGGCAGAGCGTGTACATTTTCATATTTCTCGGTGTAGGTAGTCATTCAGTCTAGAGGAGTTTTGTTTGGTGACCGGATTTCACATAGGTCGGTGTCCAAGATCAACATTCGAATTCATCACTTTCTATACGCAATGTTACGATGTTGACACCTTTCGGTCACGAGTCTTCCTACATCGCACGGACACTACATTACTCATTTTTTATTTAGATGCCCTTATAATGAACGATCGATTTTATGCGTGTTCAATCGAGGACCGTGTTAGAGCCCTTTTGTTATATGTTTTCAATCAGGGTTTTCTTGAAAAAGATGACAACGATAAAGTAACAAAGGAATGGTTGTGGGTGGTAGAAACCATGGATACCTAGAACAGGTATATGTCAATTTAATTACTAAATATAATATAATTATTTAGTGTTTAACTAATGGTTTTATATAAATCAGGTTTGCATGGGGGAGTTCGTTATGGTTTAAAACATACCCTAAACTGTCGGGTATGTTTAAGACAATCATGTTTTGACTACTTTTTAATATGTTTTGACTACTATCTACTAGTCGTTGACTACTATTTCATGTGTTGTCTCGTCGAACAGTGACTTTCCGACACACGATTATATTTTGACTATTTTTAATAGGTTTTGACTACTATCTGTATTCGGATCCGATGTTTTCAGTAGTACGGGCCCAATACTACCTTTCACATCAATTTGTATTCGTCTCGGGTCGCACCCTCGAGACCCCAAGAACTCTACCTCTTCATAACAACTATGAAATCGTCCTACTGGTTCGTGAGAACCTCAACATACATCTAGATACTAGTTCTAGACCACTCCCATCACTGCTCTACCTCACGGGATCTCCGTTGCCCTAGCTATTTGTCTCGTGTATGCCAATTGTACATAGTATGAGACTCGATAAACATTCGAATAAATGATCTTACCTCAAATCCACAACCAGACAAGGAACAGGAAGAAAGGCCAAATCAGACATTCTAAGGCTATAAAATCCTAACTATGTACAACTTATAAGACATACGCCACACAAATAATTAAGGCAGATTCGATCTCAAAAGGAATAAATTCCTAGGTTAAGACATTATTAACCAGGCAACATACATATTGTTTCAGCAAGATTCCTTAGCCTACACTTAGCTAGCATGCAATTCCAACTGCTCATAATACAACACTTATGCTTAAAAATAACAATGAGATATTTTGGGAAACTGCCGCTCGAGCGCTGGTCGATTGTACACACAACTTCTTTGGGTTTTTCCTTCTGTAAAAGTCTTCATTTCTTGTTAAGTTCTTAAAAATGTTCAAACCCTCAGTTTGAGTTTGGAATCACCCATAGGTTCATCCAAATCCCTCAAACCAGGGCTCTGATACCAAATTGTAACACCTCAAATTTTAGACCAAAATTTTCATTTTTAAGACTTCCAAAAACATAGTTCACAATCAAACATCAAGTACAAGTCAATCCCAAAACCGCAAGTATCATAGTTATCAGAGTACATAAAAGATCATATCCCAGTAATAAAATCCCAGTGCGTGTCTACAATCAGACCTTCGCCTTCCCGCGGTCCTGCGAAGTACTTACCACATATAAATCAACAACTGTAAGCCCAAAGCTTAGTGAGTTCCCTAAGATATCACATATAACTCAGCATAAATAAACAACTATGAGTTATCTGCAACCCTGGGACTATTAGCAGTCCCGTTGAGCTAACATCATGCTCGAGAGGTTATCTGCAACCCCGGTTAGCTAATAGCATCCCCAGCTAAGCAATTATCATATCAGCACATAACATAGCATACATAACACAACATAACAGCAAGACCCAGCTGGTCATAATAATACAGCTATCCTACCACACATGTAAGAGTGAGTAAGGAGACTCACCTGATACTGATGACACGAAAACCTAGCACCCGAACTGCCGGATCTAGACTCTGCCTATTCAACCAAATAAATTACCCTTAATTAATAACTAAGGCCCAAAACCATATCACGAGTCCAAGTCCACAGCTAAGCCCATTAATGGCAAAAAGGACCATATTATCCTTCCCTAGGTCCATACCCTAAATTTTGACCTAAAAGTCAAAATCAGCAAAGTCAACAAAAGTCAACCGAAGTCAACACTCAGCGAGTATGTTGGGCGTACAACTCCCTATGCTGGGCGTACTACTGGCTAAGCATGCGACGGGGGTCTTCGGCTCTACGTTGCGCGTAAATGGGAGTACGCACATGTAACGACCCAAAAATCAAGGGTAAAAATTTCATTTTTAATATAGCTAAGACATTGATACCATTTATTTCAAACATTTCAAGTCATCATTAAGTAATACATTTATCAGAGTTCATCCCAAAATCATTCATTGCGGAAATCATAGGCGGGTGCACTGCGATCAATCCGAGCCCTTCTCTTTCCAAACCGATGATACCTGAAACAATAAACTGTAAACCGTAAGCACAAATCTTAGTGAGTCCCCCAGAGCATACCCCACACACACCCACATAACACATATCATATTAGTTGTAAAAGCTATCTTTACCACATAACGCATATCATATTAGTTGTAAAAGCTATCTCCACCACATAACACATATCATATTAGCTGTAAAAGCTATCTCTACCACATAAGGCATATCATATTAGTTGTAAAAGCTATATATACCACATAAGTCATGCATACAAACATATAAGGATGTCATGGGCTCCCCCGCATGGTCTTACACCTAAGTGTCATGGGCTCCCCCATGGTCTTTAGCTAGGATTGTCATGGGCTCCCCCACATGGTCTTACACCTAAGTGTCATGGGCTCCCCACATGGTCTTTAGCTAGGAATGCCATGGGATCCCCCATATGGTCTTATGTCCAACTCTCACGGGCTCCCCCCGGGGTTTTCCATGCATATCACATACATAATCAACTAGCATATCATATATCACAATGGTATCTATCATGCTACCTAACACATAGATAAACATATAAGGATGTTGTGGGCTCCACCCAAGGTCTTACTCCAGGATGCCATGGGCTCCCCCACATGGTCTTACACCTAAGTGTCATGGGCTCCCCCATGGTCTTTAGCTAGGAATGACGTGGGCTCCCCCACATACTTATGTCCAACTGCCACGGGCTCCCCCGGGGTCTTCCATGCAATAACATACATAATCACTAGCATACCACTTAACATAAAGCTAATTATCATACCACATATCTCTACTACAGCTAGTGTACCACATATCAGAAAATGGGTCGGCCTTGGTGCCGTAGACCCATTGGTATGGTGAGAAGACTCACATGGCACTACTGAAGTCCCACAGATAAAACTCTAGCTGCTGGTTGATAGATTCCCGAACGTTCAATCATCAAAACGACACCCACTAAATAATTGGGTTCCAAGCCCAAGGTCCAACTCACACTCCAAAGGCCCAATAGACAAGTAATGGGCCAAAGCCTAACATATGGCCCAAATTTCCAAATTAGGCCCAAGCCTCTCTAATGGGTCTTATCCTAAAGCCCAATAATTTCCTTAGTCCATAAATATGCGACTTCTGATGGCCCACTAAGGCCTAA